CCTGCCTAGCCCGCCTGGCCCCGCAGGCTCGGCTGCCCATCACGTGCGCCCAAGTCCTCGCGGCCGGCGGCGCTGTTCCCGCGGTCAAGGTAAGGGCCGGACGCGGGAGGGGGGCGGCCGGGGAGCCCGCGCCTCCCGGGCACTCACCGCAGCTGTCCATGCGGGCCACTTGGGAGCAAGTCCCCTGCCTGCCCTACCAGATGCGGGCCTAGGTCACGCACCCGGTCGTAGTCACCCTCAAAGTGTCTGGGATGGGAAACGGGGGCCAAAAGGAGAGGCTGGGATCCCCACTATGGGAAGGGAAGCTTATGTCCCTCCAGCATGGCCCCGGGGGTCCCTGGAGGGAAAGTTTGTCCCAAGAACACCCAGAAACCTGCCCCAGGCTCTGCCACCCGAGCCAGAGCTTTTGGTTTGCTGAGACTCAGTGCCTTTGCCAGGGTCTTTGCTGGGTGCCTTCTGTCCCCGCCACTCCCGTGGGAAGGGGGTGGTGGTCATGGGATCCATTTGACAGATGGGGAAACTGAGGCTCAGAGAGTTTAGACTCTTGGCCAAGGTGACCCAGCAATACCAACCTCCGTCACACCGCCTCATGCCCACCTACCTCTGTCTGTTGGAACCTCAGTTTAGCCAGCAGGGATGGGAGGGGGCACCAGACTGGCATTTGGGTTTCCCAGCCAGAAATAAAAAGACTCTGAGCACCGAGAACCAAGAGCAACTTTGCCTCTGCCCTCGCTGCAGACACCCAGCGCCCCACCCCATGCCCAGTCCTGGTCAGGCCGGGCTCTGTGGGCACCGTGGGCATGCCGGAGGCTCTCCTGGCTCTTAGACAGGACACTCGAGGGTCAGGGTGACAGGCTTTCTGCAGGAGAACAGGGCCATCCTGGAGGCCTGAACCCACCAGACCCCCAGGCCGTTCCTAGAAGCTGGGGCTCCGGAAGACTGAGGGATGGGGGGGCTGTCTCCCTGCCTTCCCCTCTGATCACGCTAGCCAGAATCTTGGGGGCCTTCCAGGGACCATGAGAACTTGCAGCCCCCCCCAAGAGTCCAGGCTTGCTGGGAAGGCACTGTGCCCCTCTTGCCACCTCCCTGACTTGGGGTGGAATTGAGGACGGAGTCTGGCACCTTTGGGCTGGGGCTGGGTGGCCTGAGTGCAGGCAGCACGTGGGGTGGCCCTACCACCTCTGAGGCTGGGGGCTCAGGACACATGGGATTTTGTTCCCCATTCTCGCCTCGGCAGCTGCGTCAGCATCTGTGCAGTGCTGTGGCGAAGACAGACGGTGGTCGTTGTGCCAGCTTTGGTCCCTGTCACCCGAGTTTCCTGGTTGGTATGCACTCACATGGAAAGCCTGAAATGCTTCCCGAAGGGCTCGGGATCCCAGGAGGACCCCAGGTTGCCCAGCTTCGGTGCCTGAATGCTAAGTGGAGATGGGGAGCTTCGGGGAGCATCTTGGGCTTCTGGGGCTTGCACATGCCCACCCCTACCTCTCCAGCGGGGGGAAGGGGACCCAGAGCCCCGACACCCACACTGTGCCATGCACTCAGTAGTGTGGACGGAGGCCCTTGGGGAAAGTGGCACAGATGGAGGAGCTGGGACTTTTCACCCGCTCTGTCCACTTCTCTGGGTGACCTTGGGCCCGTCACTATCTTCTAAACCTCAGTTTTCCCTCTGTGAATGCATGGGGCGGGTCATTTCACCTCCCCTGAGAACCACTGCAGCCATGCCCAGCCGAGCCCCGAGGGCGTGGGTGAGGCTGTGAGGAGCCAGTGTGCTTCCTTGCTGCCCTGGGATACAGGAAGTGGGGGACCCGTTTGTAAGGACACCCACACCCTGCCAGCCCACCCCTACTCAGGTGATCACCCCTTAAGTCCCTGAGCCCTGTGCAGCCCTGTGAGGCTCGGTGGCCTGGGGACCTGGCCTGTGGGCCAGCCCAGCAAAGAGGGATTGCAGTGCCTGGGCCAGGCGGGCACGTTTATTACATCTCTGTCAATTATGTCCACCTCGGAACTCAGCGGGAGGGAGGCAGGATGGCTGTGTCCCCAAAGCTCCCGCTCGCTCTGCTCCCCCACAAAGCCGTGCATCTTGACCCACACACTTGCTTAGTGAAAAGGTGGGTTCCCAGCCCAGACCCGGGGGAGTCACCCCCATGTCACCTGCAGATCCCGGTTGCTTCTACCCTTCCTCCAGTGATCATGGGCACCCGGACCACTGGGAACCCCAGGCCAAGGCCCTGGGGACCCCTGAAAGAGGTCTCTTCCTTTTTTCCCCTCCACTCCAGGCCTTAGCCCATCCTGTGCCAGCCTGGGAGGAAGCTTGCTCTGATGGCCAGGTCAGCGGCGGGCAGGGGCCGCCACTGGGAACTCGGCCCTAGGCTGGGGTTTGGAGCCTGGCTTGCTGCTTCCTGGGCCAGGACACGGGGCCCTGCGCCCTTGCTTCCCTGCATCCCCTGGTATGGAGGGGGCTGGAGGGGGCCGTGGTGAGAGCAGTGGGGCTGCAATGTAGGGTCAGCCTGCATGGGACCAGGGGGGCCTTGACCCGGAATGAGGAGGCAAGCAGATGCCAGGCCCCCAGGCCCGAGCGGATGCCACAATGTAAAACCCCCCCTCGAGGAGCCCAGGCCAGTGACAGGCAGGACCGACGCTCGGGTGGGTACGGACAGGGCAGCCCCTGCCTCCTACCCTGGCAAGGTGTTAGGGCCTGTGTGGAAGGGGTCCTGGCCAGGCTGACCCAGTGCCTGCGTCCGTGTGTTCAGCCTCCCCAAGTGGCCAGGTTGCCGGAGGCCCAGGAGAAAGCTGGTCGGGGACCCAACCGTGGCCCTGAAGAAGTTGGGCTGGCAGGCTGCGGCCACCCCCGCCATGTGCTCTGGCTGCGAAGGGTGGCAGCGAGGCTGAGTGAATGACAAGAGCCATGCTTATGCCCAGGCTGTGTGTCCTGAGTGAAATGACTTGGCCTCTCTGGGCCCTGTGTTCTGTTTTTATCCACCTGAGGGAGGTGCCAGCTGACTGGGACGGGTGTCAGTGTGCTGCTGGGCATGAGCAGAGGCTCATCTCCCAGGCTGGGAGCATGGGCCCGCACCAGGGGTGGCATCGGCTGGCCAGCATCGCTGTCCTGTGTGTGGGTTCTTCTCAACTGGCCCCCCAGGGTGTGCGCAGGGGCCTGGGCTCGGGCTCGGTCCCAGCATGTGTCCCGCTCCTCCTCATGCTCTGCACTTGCCACACCTGGCGATGTGGGGTAGGGGCGGAGGACACAGGTTCAGGGTGTGTCCAGCTCCCTGGGGACCATGCCCCTCGCTTCAGAAATCACTCGGCCGCCTCACCAGGAAAGCAGCCGCTTGCTTCAAGCTCCGACAGGTGCCTTTGTCTCTTTTATGCTGTTTGTTTAATTACTCTGCATTCCATTGTAATTATGTTAAAGCATCTCTTAATAAGAGATATGCATGCTTGTAAAAGAAAAATCAACCGTCCATCGCCAGGCTCCCGGCCCCAGGCGGCCTTGCGAATGTATGCTACACAGGGTGTCATCGTGTCATTGAGGGCTCTACGGCTGCCACGAACGTGCTCCTCTCTGGCAATGCCGGGGGCTGGACCGGGGCTTCGGTACCGGTCCCAGAGCCCACGCTTCTGCCTTGGTTTTTGTGGATGTGGCTGGGATGCAGTCGTCCCTCACAGAGGCTCAGGCTGGGCAGGGGACATGCGCTTGGGAGGAGGACGGATCCTCTGAGCCACACGGGCCTGCAGAGGTGTGAGGGCAGGTGGGCGGGCGCTCCAGGGTGGAGGACGAGGTCGGTGCTGTGCCCTGGGCCGTCCTGCGCACCCTCAGGGAGAGAACAGAGCGAGGGTAGGGGTGGCGCTCAGGGAGGGGCCACTGGAGGCCTTTGCTGCTCCTTTGTGGGGTGCTAAAGATGACCCCGAATGTTCCCTGCTCTCTCGGAGGGTGAGGGAACCCCTCCGGCCACTTCCCCATCGCTTGGCTGGCTTTGAACCTGGAGCATCTGCACTGAGCCTTCCTCACCCGCTGGGATGGCTGAGGCCCACTCCTGGCACCCGGCTTCCCTTCCTGCCTCGCCACCCCGACCTCCGCATCACCCGCCGTGCGTCCCCCTAGCGTTCATACTTGGGATTTTTCTGAGAGAGGCTGGAGCCCTGGGAGAAAAAGGCCGCCTGGGGGCGCGGGGACCCTGGGGAGGGCGTGGGTGGTATCATCAGTGACTGCCTCCCGAAGGTCTTACTTGGCCACGTGCCATCGTAGGCGTGCCTCCCAAGTCCCCTGCCTGGCACCCGCAAGCCGGTCTCACTCCATGCATCAGGGAACTTCCAAAGGCAAAATAAAAACACTTGCTGTTCCCACTTAAAGGTTCCGGGGTACCTGGGGGGCAAGAAGGGACCCAGGGTCAGGACAGAGACAAGTCCAAACCGGCCCCCTGCTCCGAGAGGGCTGATTCTGGGACCTCACGATCCAAATCTGGTTCCCAGGAAGACAGGCGGGATGGGAGTCTGTTTCACTAGAAAAGCACTCGGTTTTGTGCCACACACGGCTGACGCGTGTGCTGCTGGTATTTGCCTGCGTTTGGAGTTTGTTTAGTTAAAACTCCCCCTACACAGCAGGCGCCTGCCTCCGTGCGAAACCTTTTCCACAATTAAAACTATGGCTGACTTTGATTTTACCTCGGTGGAACTTCCCACACGAGAGAAAAGCCACCCCCTCGTTGCTAAACAGATCTCGGCCTCCAAACAGATTGATTTACTTCGCGGTGCCCTGAGTCTTTGCCTTCGTGGTCGTTTTACTGCCGCTGGGCTGTGTCTTGCTTTCTGCTGCTTGCTCTTCTCCACATCATTGATCGGGGGACCCAAGGGAGGGAGGCGGGGAGTGGCGGAACGGAGCCCTGCGGAGTCAGCCTGATACTTGGACTCACAGCGGTCAGAGGCAAGGCCGAGCCTGGGCTGGTGAGCGTAGGTTGCTTGTAAACCTCTCTGTGCCCTAGTTTTCTATCTATAAAAATAGGCTTGGTTTTCCTTCTGTCGCCAAGGTAGATCCCAGGCCCCCAGCAGGAACCTGCTGGTAGCTTCTGGGGTCTTAGGGTGGCACCTGCTG